AGACATGAAGAGGTTTAATATCATTTTGTTGAATTTTCTATTTTGAAAAGGGACAAACGGCCGATTATTTTATATTTTTCACAGAAAATCAATAAGAGTAATGGTAACGGTGAAGCGGTAGCAAAGCGAGCCAGATTGCAATCAGAAAATGCCAGTACATTAAGACATGAAGAGGTTTAATATCATTTTGTTGAATTTTCTATTTTGAAGAGAGACAAACGGCCGATTTTTCTATATTTTTCACAGAAAATCAATGAAACTAATGTTAACGGTGAAGCGGTAGCAAAGCAAACCAGCTTACAATCAGAAAACCGCAGTAATTCCACAAATGAACAGGTTTTTAAAATTTCTCTTCTGAATATAAAGATCGACGCTCGATATTCTACTTTTTTCACTTGTTTTCCAGAAAATCCTTATCAAAAAACAAACAAAATCAAAGATAGTTTCTGTTAAAATCAAACAAATACCACCGGCAGCTGGCGACTTTTGTTTTGCAAAGGTTAGGGGTTACTGTGAATGGCCTGCATTTGTTTTGAATGTTGAAGAAAGGACTATCGAAGTTCAATTTTTCAACTCTGGGACAAAGTAGGTATAATTTATTACTGCTATTTAGCAATTTAATATTAAATGCAAACACACACTAAACATTTGTCGATTTTATAGAGCCAAATGTACTTTAACCAAGGTGTTTGACCTCGTGGAAGGGCTCCATTTCATAACTGATAAAAAACCGAAAGGATTTCAGAAAGCTGTCATGGAAATGTCTCTTGCCATGAAATATTCTCGGAACAAAACTTTGAATAAAATAATTGATCAATACAAAACTGCATATATATCAGTTTGATCGGCCGAAGAGAAAAAAAATCACACACACAATCACTTTTCACATTCTGAAATTAAAATGCCAATTCATTTATAATGCCACATATGTAATAAATATTTTTATAATTATAATATAATTTTCCAAATATTTTATTCGGCCGATTCACATGGTTTAGTTTATATATATACGAAACGTTATAAAATTGTTCAATAAAAAAAATAAAATTGAGATTTGAATATGTTATTGCACATATTGTTGGAATATATATTTTAAAATTTCTTTCGGATTTTGATTTCATTTGATTTAGAATATTTGAGAGAAAATAATCAATTTGCTAGTAACATAATCTTATTTGTTTAATATAAATAACACAAAATACTGTTTCGTGTATGATCACAAATGAAATATGAACTAATTTATATAAAATTCCTTTATAGAACAGTATCTTTTTCTGTCATTTCTACGATGTTTCCATTAAAATCAATTGAAAAACTTTTGGCATTTGTCAAGGTATTTTCATCGGCCGATTTCCCATTGTTTTCATTGAGCTCTTGTGAATACGATGACAAGCTTTCGGATTTTGAACGTTCCACAATGTCATGTTTCTCGCTTTCGTCACATCCCACCATTTTTTTCTGAAAGAAGATATAATTTTTCCAGATATTCAGTATAGAATATGTTGAATAGAAAACTTATGGTACCTTTTTATTATTAGAAACCTTCACACACTTTGTGAGAACAGATTTCGTATCATTTTCAAATTGATACAATGTGTAATTTTTGTCGACTCGAATCATGGCACTTAATAAAACGATTTGCACATTCTTGAGCTCCTTAAATGCTTGCGTGTTTTCCATTCGTCCTGACCACCTGAATTGTACAATTACTTCTTTTGAAATTAATGACCCAAAGAATCCTTCCAAAATTGATTTATGACTTTGATATAAATTCTTTACGATGGGAACAATGCGTCGAATCTAGAATTAAAAAAAATCGGCCGCAAATTAAAAAAGCACTCCTTTCCTCATATAACATATATGACACTTACAAAGAATTGTAGAAAGTCATTGGACTTTTCGAGATCTGATTCCAACATTTCCACTTCTTCTTTTGTTTTAATTGGTAACTGGTATTTTTCAAATATCGTTAACATTTCTTCCTCATTTGAAGACACTTTTGCTTCAGAAGTACATAAGGTCGCATTTGTTCGATATAAATATACTTGCTCTGAAGCGGCTATTAACTCTTTTGACAATACTTCAATTAAGTTTCCCATTGAAACAACCATTTGCATTAGCTCGTCTGCTGAAAATGCATTCAAATGGTTTTCGTTTGGTATTTTCACTTCGGCCGATTCGGTGTCATAATTCACAGCTTCAAGTTGATTTTCATTGCACTTATCTCCATAGGCCGTACAGTCGTCATTGGTTATTTCAAAAAAACTATTAAAATTGGATTTTTCTTCAACTACTTTTCGTTTTTTCGGCTTTGACTCATTTTTTGAAGATAATGATCGACGTTTTGAATTTCGACGTACTCGAGTACGCAATCGCTTCTCCATTTTAAATTTATTATTAAAACAATTGTTTTAAATTCGTAGACTAGAATGTATTTATTCTCTTAGCCGCTATTAGCCGATTGTCTTGAAATGGTTTACAATTTACATAACCTCAATAATAATACATAAAATATACATACATACTGTCAAATTTGACGTGAGCTGTCAAGTCGTATGTACATGTGCACAAATCAAAACATTAATTGAATACGATTACAACAGAGTTTTTAAACAATTTTTCAAAAAATGGTGAATGTTAATAATATAAATAGAAAAAGATATTTTGCATCAAATCGTAAAAAATATGGACGAACATTTAGAAAGGAAATGAATAAAATCAATGAACGAATTAAAAACGCAAGAGTTAATTCAGCTTTGGAGATGGAATCATCATTTGAAAACGAAGAAGATCGGCCGAGTGTATCACATCATCTAAGGGAGTGGGCATTAAAATACAATGTCAGGCATAATTCTTTGGGTGATTTGTTAAAAATCTTGATACGCCACGGACTGAAGTTTTTACCCAAAGATCCCAGGACATTATTAAAAACACCTCAAAGTATTTTGATTGAACCTGTTGCATCTGGAAGTTTTTGGTACGCTGGCATAGAAAATAAATTGAGAAAATTGTTTCATTCGCCCGATAAAAATGTCGGTTTGGAACTTAATATTCATGTTGACGGGCTACAGATTTATAATAGTTCGAGTAAACAATTCTGGCCAATTTTGATACAAATTCATGGTTCGTAAATAAAAATAAATGATAATTCGGCCGACATAATTTAAATTATTGCTATTATTATCAATTTAATAGGACTCTCAAATATCGAACCATTTGCTGCGGCTGTGTGGTATGGAGAAGGCAAACCTTCTTGTGTGAACGAATATTTATCAAAATTTGTAGAAGAAATTAATAATTTAACTTTAAATGGAATGGAAATCAAAGGCTACTTTTTTTCAATTAAAGTACGTTGTATAATTGCAGATACGCCAGCTAGAGTATTTTTAAAAGGTAGATTTAGATATATTATATCCATTATGTACATTCCATATATTCGGCCGTTTTGATAAGTACTTAAATTTCAGGTGTGAGAAATTTTAACCATCATGCTGGTTGCCAGAGATGTATAACTCGTGGAAAAAGTATAAGAAATACTATGTCATTTCCAATATTAAATAGCCCATTAAGGACTGATGCTGATTTTCGATCCAGATCTGATCCTGCACATCATTTGAAGTATTCAGTTATTGAAGAAATATTGAATTTTGATTTAATCTTCGACATGCCTCTCAGCGATCCATTGCATTTACTCGATATTGGTGTTATGAAACGTATGTTATCTCGTTGGCTATATGGAACTAAAAGTTATAAAAAAATATTTACTAATCAAAAAATTGCACAATTAGACGATTTGCTAAGGGCAGCTAACGAAAATAAGCCAACGGAAATAAATCGGCCGGTTGGAACGATACGTAATTTTGCGCGCTGGAAAGCAACTGAACAAAGAACGATTCTTTTGTATGTTGGTTTGATAATTTTGGAGGATATTATTCCCCACGCAGAATATGAAATGTTTTTGAGTTTATGTTGCGCCATTAAACTTTGTTCTGTTGACATGTATTTGAACGTAAACAACCGAATAGTTCTAATCGAAAAATTACTAACCGACTTTATACAAAGTTATATAAACGTTTATGGGAACCACACTATCACAAGTAATGTACATAATTTGTGTCACATTTCAGCCGATTTAAAACGTTTTGGCAATATTGATTCAATATCAACCTATCCATTTGAAAACTATCTGGGAAAAATAAAGCGAAAGATTCGAGCGTATCACAGTCCATTACAACAGTTTGCTAAAAGATCACTTGAATTAGATCAGCTTCATATCACAAAAGGACACCCAAGAAATGGAATAGAATTAAAATTTCCATCCTCTGATGGTTTTCAAACAATAATGTTCAATGATTATCAGCTTTCCTCGCGCAAAATTGCAGACAGTTGGTTTTTATTGAAATCGGCCGAAAAAATAATAAAATTTGAAAAAGTAGTTCAAAGTAATGAAGAAATAATTATATATGGCAAAGAAATACCTAACAAAGACAATTTTTTTGAATATCCATTTCATTCTAAACATATTAGCATTTTTATTTCTAATTCTGAAGAGGGAAGAATAATAAAATGTGGACCTAACGATATTAAATGTAAACTGTTCAGATTACCATACAAAGAAACATATGTATTCCAACCACTATTGCACACATTCAAATAATTGTGAACCAAATACGTTGATGAATTCATTCAATATTTTATGACAATTTTGACATTTTTACTTTAGAAATAAAGAGTCTTTTCCATACGAAGATCCACGGCATACATTTATTACACCTTTTGCTGCAATAAGAATCATTCTGAAATTTTGCAGAAATTTCAATGAAAATTGGAGAAGGTAGTACCTCCGAGGTACCCATACAAAAATTTCATTTGTTATTGGAGTTACCCCTAATTTTTGCCGAATTTTCTTGAAACTTTCAGAATGTTATTTTTTCTGTTCCCGTTCAATTTACTGTATATTTTCGGTAATTTTTATCAAAAATTCATAGTAAATTTATTTAAAAAATATTT